GAGAACGGAAGTTACATTTTCTAAACCAGAAGTTGACAATTATCTCCCTTATTTCAGGCAAAAGTCTATAGAAACCGTATATTTTTTGAATCAGTATGAAGAAACCTATGATTGGACGCCAATAGTAGCTTTGAGTAAACCAGAAGTAGCTTCTTATCAATTATTCAGAAAACTAATGTTGAAAAAAAAACCCTTCTTTGAACAATTGGTTTTTAATTGTAAATATACTTGTGTCCAATTTAGGATTTGACATAAAATACGAGTGACATTTATTTTATAATTGATTGTAACAGCCATTAGTCTCTATTTGAAGCTGATACTAATTGATGATTTTTTTTTTTTCAGAAACAGCCTAAATATGTTACACTTCTAGACAATGAGGCTTTCATGGTATATAGCACACAGAGATTTGAATCATGTAGGTATTTGGTCATTATATTTGTACTTTTAACTCTTTTTATATGTGTTGGGTAACAAAAAAAAAGCTGATGTTATGTTATAGGTTTTGTTGGAAACAGCCGAAATATGTTGCACTCCTAGACAGAGAAGATGGAGTCATGGCAGATATGAAGAGTCAACATGTAAGTATTTGGTCATTACAATTGTACTTAAAACTATGTTAATATTTGGAAGTCAATAAAAATCTGTTTTCACTGAAACAATAGCTTAAAATTTTATTACAAATGGGTCTAAAATATCTTATTCGAATTTCAAATGTGGTATATTTTAATAAGAATGAAAGAGTAATTGTAAATTAATTGTCCATAATTTAAGATTTGACATGAAACATGAATCACATTAATTTTTTAATTTTTTCAACAGCCATTAAATATTCTCTAAAGCTGATGTTAATTCAATTTTTTTCTTTTGTAAAAGATACAGCCCAGATATGTTCCACTCCCACACATTCAAGATGGTTTCGTGGTAGATGGCACATGAGGATGTTTAACATGTAAGTATTTAGTCATTACAATTGTACTTTAGACTATGTATGTGTTGGGTAATAAATATCAGTTTTCCCTGGAACAACAGCTTAAATAAAATTTTATTTCAAATTAGTTTACATATTTCTTTTGTTCAAATTTATAATCTAGTGAAGTAAATTTTAACATGAATGTGTTGTAATTAGGTCTCACCACTTAGACCTATTGTATTTGTTCTGATTATTATTTTTTTTTTCTTCACCAAACCCTTTTCTTGCGGTATAAAATTGTTTCGCAAGATGTTGCTTAGATATTATTTTGTATATGATATCGAACAGTTATTGCGCTTTTTAAACATCTCTCTAAGGCGAAGACTTTTTTATTGTAAGAGTTATCTCCCCAAACACTTTTGTGAGTGTATCTCCTCCGTAACCAAAAAAGATAACGACAAAATTCTTTTTCATATTTGTTCGTTACATCCTCTGAAATTTTTGGCTGATTTGGATTGAAGCGATCCAGTGAAATTTGATAGGAGTTATCTACCTTTATCAATTATATTTGTCGTTATGTTTTTGTAACTCATAAACCGTAAGCCGTATAAACCTAAAGTCTTTTTATTTGAGGTCCTTGGGGCCTAACTTAGAAAATGAGGTCAAGGTCATGTTCTCAATTTTGTTTTTTGCTTGTTTTTGCATTTTCTTTGATATTTTTAACGTCATATAAAAGAACTAGTGCAAAATGTTTGTTTTATTATGATGAAGATATGATACATTTGGTCTGAAACAATCCATTGACATGTTATAGGAGTTATTGCCCCTGAAATGTTTAATTTTAAGGTAAATTGATTATTACTTCAGATTGGTACATGCTAAAGCAATAAGGTCTTTTAGAAAAAGTTGTGACATATGACCTTGAAAATATCAACCGGAAGTGACCTTGGGTGAACCGGAAGTAGTCATTTTTGCACTTATTTTATGTAAAAATATATAGAAACCATATATTTTTTGAATGGTCATACATTAACCTATCATTTGAGACCAGAAGTGAAATTTTATAGACCGGAAATAGCATATTATCTCCCTTATTACATGCACAAGTATATACAAACTATATATTTTGAGAATTAGTGTGAATAAAGATATCGAATGAGAACGGAAGTTACATTTTCTAAACCAGAAGTTGACAATTATCTCCCTTATTTCAGGCAAAAGTCTATAGAAACCATATATTTTTTGAATCAGTATGAAGAAACCTATGATTGGACGCCAATAGTAGCTTTGAGTAAACCAGAAGTAGCTTCTTATCAATTATTCAGAAAACTAATGTTGAAAAAAAAACCCTTTCTTTGAACAATTGGTTTTTAATTGTAAATATACTTGTGTCCAATTTAGGATTTGACATAAAATACGAGTGACATTTATTTTACAATTGATTGTAACAGCCATTAGTCTCTATTTGAAGCTGATACTAATTGATGATTTTTTTTTTTCAGAAACCGCCTAAATATGTTACACTTCTAGACAATGAGGCTTTCATGGTATATAGCACACAGAGTTTTGAATCATGTAGGTATTTGGTCATTATATTTGTACTTTTAACTCTTTTTATATGTGTTGGGTAACAAAAAAAAAGCTGATGTTATGTTATAGGTTTTGTTGGAAACAGCTGAAATATGTTGCACTCCTAGACAGAGAAAATGGAGTCATGGCAGATATGAAGAGTCAACATGTAAGTATTTGGTCATTACAATTGTACTTAAAACTATGTTAATATTTGGAAGTCAATAAAAATCTGTTTTCACTGAAACAATAGCTTAAAATTTTATTACAAATTGGTCTAAAATATCTTATTCGAATTTCAAATGTGGTATATTTTAATAAGAATGAAAGAGTAATTGTAAATTAATTGTCCATAATTTAAGATTTGACATGAAACATGAATCACATTAATTTTTTAATTTTTTCAACAGCCATTAAATATTCTCTAAAGCTGATGTTAATTCAATTTTTTTCTTTTGTAAAAGATACAGCCCAGATATGTTCCACTCCCACACATTCAAGATGGTTTCGTGGTAGATGGCACATGAGGATGTTTAACATGTAAGTATTTAGTCATTACAATTGTACTTTAGACTATGTATGTGTTGGGTAATAAATATCAGTTTTCCCTGGAACAACAGCTTAAATAAAATTTTATTTCAAATTAGTTTACATATTTCTTTTGTTCAAATTTATAATCTAGTGAAGTAAATTTTAACATGAATGTGTTGTAATTAGGTCTCACCACTTAGACCTATTGTATTTGTTCTGATTATTATTTTTTTTTCTTCACCAAACCCTTTTCTTGCAGTATAAAATTGTTTCGCAAGATGTTCCTTAGATATTATTTTGTATATGATATCGAACAGTTATTGCGCTTTTTAAACATCTCTCTAAGGCGAAGACTTTTTTATTGTAAGAGTTATCTCCCCAAACACTTTTACTTGTGAGTGTATCTCCTCCGTAACCAAAAAAGATAACGACAAAATTCTTTTTCATATTTGTTCGTTACATCCTCTGAAATTTTTGGCTGATTTGGATTGAAGCGATCCAGTGAAATTTGATAGGAGTTATCTACCTTTATCAATTATATTTGTCGTTATGTTTTTGTAACTCATAAACCGTAAGCCGTATAAACCTAAAGTCTTTTTATTTGAGGTCCTTGGGGCCTAACTTAGAAAATGAGGTCCAGGTCATGTTCTCAATTTTGTTTTTTGCTTGTTTTTGCATTTTCTTTGATATTTTCAACGTCATATAAAAGAACTAGTGCAAAATGTTTGTTTTATTATGATGAAGATATGATACATTTGGTCTGAAACAATCCATTGACATGTTATAGGAGTTATTGCCCCTGAAATGTTTAATTTTAAGGTAAATTGATTATTACTTCAGATTGGTGCATGCTAAAGCAATAAGGTCTTTTAGAAAAAGTTGTGACATATGACCTTGAAAATTATCAACCGGAAGTAGTCATTTTTGCACTTATTTTATGTAAAAATATATAGAAACCATATATTTTTTGAATGGTCATACATTAACCTATCATTTGAGACCAGAAGTGACATTTTATAGACCGGAAATAGCATATTATCTCCCTTATTACATGCACAAGTATATACAAACTATATATTTTGAGAATTAGTGTGAATAAAGATATCGAATGAGAACGGAAGTTACATTTTCTAAACCAGAAGTTGACAATTATCTCCCTTATTTCAGGCAAAAGTCTATAGAAACCGTATATTTTTTTAATCAGTATGAAGAAACCTATGATTGGATGCCAATAGTAGCTTTGAGTAAACCAGAAGTAGCTTCTTATCAATTATTCAGAAAACTAATGTTGAAAAAAAAACCCTTTCTTTGAACAATTGGTTTTTAATTGTAAATATACTTTTGTCCAATTTAGGATTTGACATAAAATACGAGTGACATTTATTTTATAATTGATTGTAACAGCCATTAGTCTCTATTTGAAGCTGATACTAATTGATGATTTTTTTTTTTTCAGAAACAGCCTAAATATGTTACACTTCTAGACAATGAGGCTTTCATGGTATATAGCACACAGAGTTTTGAATCATGTAGGTATTTGGTCATTATATTTGTACTTTTAACTCTTTTTATATGTGTTGGGTAACAAAAAAAAAGCTGATGTTATGTTATAGGTTTTGTTGGAAACAGCCGAAATATGTTGCACTCCTAGACAGAGAAGATGGAGTCATGGCAGATATGAAGAGTCAACATGTAAGTATTTGGTCATTACAATTGTACTTAAAACTATGTTAATATTTGGAAGTCAATAAAAATCTGTTTTCACTGAAACAATAGCTTAAAATTTTATTACAAATTGGTCTAAAATATCTTATTCGAATTTCAAATGTGGTATATTTTAATAAGAATGAAAGAGTAATTGTAAATTAATTGTCCATAATTTAAGATTTGACATGAAACATGAATCACATTATTTTTTTAATTTTTTCAACAGCCATTAAATATTCTCTAAAGCTGATTTTAATTCAATTTTTTTCTTTTGTAAAAGATACAGCCCAGATATGTTCCACTCCCACACATTCAAGATGGTTTCGTGGTAGATGGCACATGAGGATGTTTAACATGTAAGTATTTAGTCATTACAATTGTACTTTAGACTATGTATGTGTTGGGTAATAAATATCAGTTTTCCCTGGAACAACAGCTTAAATAAAATTTTATTTCAAATTAGTTTACTTATTTCTTTTGTTCAAATTTATAATCTAGAAAAGTAAATTTTAACATGAATGCGTTGTAATTAGGTCTCACCACTTAGACCTATTGTATTTGTTCTGATTATTATTTTTTTTTTTCTTCACCAAACCCTTTTCTTGCGGTATAAAATTGTTTCGCAAGATGTTGCTTAGATATTATTTAGTATATGATATCGAACACTTATTGCGCTTTATAAACATCTCTCTAAGGTGAAGACTTTTTTATTGTAAGAGTTATCTCCCTAAACACTTTTACTTGTGAGTGTATCTCCTCCGTAACCAAAAAAGATAACGACAAAATTCTTTTTCATATTTGTTCGTTACATCCTCTGAAATTTTTGGCTGATTTGGATTGAAGCGATCCAGTGAAATTTGATAGGAGTTATCTACCTTTATCAATTATATTTGTCGTTATGTTTTTGTAACTCATAAACCGTAAGCCGTATAAACCTAAAGTCTTTTTATTTGAGGTCCTTGGGGCCTAACTTAGAAAATGAGGTCAAGGTCATGTTCTCAATTTTGTTTTTTGCTTGTTTTTGCATTTTCTTTGATATTTTTAACGTCATATAAAAGAACTAGTGCAAAATTTTTGTTTTATTATGATGAAGATATGATACATTTGGTCTGAAACAATCCATTGACATGTTATAGGAGTTATTGCCCCTGAAATGTTTAATTTTAAGGTAAATTGATTATAACTTCAGATTGGTACATGCTAAAGCAATAAGGTCTTTTAGAAAAAGTTGTGACATATGACCTTGAAAAATATCAACCGGAAGTGACCTTGGGTGAACCGGAAGTAGTCATTTTTGAAACCATATATTTTTTTGAATGGTCATACATTAACCTATCATTTGAGACCAGAAGTGACATTTTATAGACCGGAAATAGCATATTATCTCCCTTATTACATGCACAAGTATATACAAATTTTATATTTTGAGAATTAATGTGAATAAAGATATCGAATGAGAACGGAAGTTACATTTTCTAAACCAGAAGTTGACAATTATCTCCCTTATTTCAGGCAAAAATCTATAGAAACCGTATATTTTTTTAATCAGTAATATTGGTATGACTTTGGCGTTGTCATCGTCCGAAGACACATTGGTTTTTGCACAATAACTTTAGTTTAAGAATTAGGAGTAAGGGGCCTAAAAAGGGGCAAAAAACAAGCATTTTTCTAGTTTCATGACAATAACTTGTGTGTAAGTGTATGGATCTTTCTGAAATTGTACTACAAGGTTCCATATCACAAAGGGAAAGCTGGAATATAGTTTTGGGGTAATTGCCCAAAACGTTTAGGAATAAGGGGCCAAAAATGAGCATTTTTCTAGTTTCAAGACAATAACTTGTGTTCAAGTGTATGGATCTCTCTGAAATTGTACTGCAAGATACCATACCACATGGGAAAGGCTGGGATTAATATTGGAGGTAATTTTAGGAAAAAGGGGCAAAAAACAAGCATTTTTCTAGTTTCAAGACAATAACTTGTGTGTAAGTGTATGAATCTTTATGAAATTGTACTACAAGGCTCCATATCACAAAGGAAAAGCTGGGTTTGAGTTTTGAGGTAATTGCCGTAAATGTTTAGGAATTTGGGGCCAAAAAACAAGCTTTTTTTCTAGTTTCCCGACAATAACTTGTGTTCAAGTGTATGGATCTCTCTGAAATTGTACTGCAAGGTACCATTCCACAAAGGGAAGGCTGGGATTAAGTTTGGGGTGATGAATCAAAAAGGGGTTCAAAAAATTTTGGGGGGGATTTTTTTTCGGTCCAAAATTGAAATCAAAAATTGAATTCTTGGGGTTCTTTGATATGCTGAATCTAAACATGTATTTAGATTTTTTATTTTTATTTGTGGGCCATGCTATCAAATTGGTTCATATTGAGGTCAAAAGGGTCCAAAATAAAACTTTGTTTGATTTCATCAAAAATTGAATTATTGGGGTTTTTTGATATGCCAAATCTAACCGTGTATTTAGATTTTTAGTATTGGGTCCTGTTTTTTAAATTGGTCTACATTAAGGTCCAAAGGGTCCAAAATTAACCATGTATTTAGATTTGGATATTGGACCATAATAGGTAAATTAACAATTTTTAAGTTCTTGAAGACCACATTCATTCTGTGTCAGAAACCTATGCTGTGTCAAATATTTAATCACAATTCAAATTCAGAGCTGTATCAAGCTTGAATGTTGTGTTTATTATACTTGCCCCAACTGTTCAGGGTTCGACCTCTGCGGTCGTATCAAGCTGCACCCAGTGGAGCATTTTATTATTTCTTATAATCAGACGCCGTACAGGATGACAAAATATTTTTACTAAATTGTTATATGCAACATGTCGTAACACATGATTTTTGGTTGAAGACATATGTTGACATAAAATGGGAGTTTTCTCCCCTCTCATATTTAAAACTAGCTGTATGGTGATATTACTCATTAACCATATATAGTAGAGATCTAGTGTCTTTTGATTTGAGGTCCTTACTTTATGACCTTGAAATATAGGTCAAGGTCATAGGTAAATTTGACATTCTAGATTTTGACCTTAGCATTAACTTAAATTAAAAATGATAGGACTTCTTGCATTAGGTTGCAAGCCATATGACCTTGAAAAAGCCAACCAGAATTTTGTGAAAAGGAAGTAACTATTTTTTGTACATATTTAATGTAAAAGTATATAGAACCATATATTTTGGGAATCCGTGTCAAGTAACCTATATGTGTTAGGTAACAAAAGTCCGTTTTCTCCTTGAACAACAGTTTGAAATTTTATTACAAATTTGTCTAACATTTCTTTTATTCAAATATTTACTGTACTGAGGTATATTTTTAATAAGAACGTAAAGTAATTGTAAATATACTATCACATATCACATTAATTTCTGAATTGATTGTTTTTTTACAGATGCAACTTATATGATGTTTTAGTAGTAGAAGGTGCAGCATGGCAGCAGAAGATGTTAAATGGAGAATCTATAGATACAGTTTAATTCTTTAGAGGATAAATAATATAAGTTATAGATTTATAGTTTATAATTTCTTTAATGTTCAAAATATCAGATGAGAATTTGCAAAGTGCCCTCAATATGTCTACGATGATTTAACATTCATAATAAAGAATGTATTGTAAACCTCTTTTTCAATATTCATATTAAAGGAAGTAGATTGTCAATTTAGATATTTACTTATTTACCTGAATTTTTTTATTAAGTAATAAAACAATATGACTTTATTTAGATTGTTTAGATTCAAGTTCAAAATGTATATACATCAGATAGTTTTGGTTTGCCAACAACTTCAATTGTATAGCCAAAAGATCAATTATTGGTTGTAAATAATGCCAGCTCTAACTAAAATCTTAAAATAGAAACTCTTCAAATTTGACAAGTTACCATATTATACATATGAATAAATTAGAATAGTCTGTAAATATTCTGTATTTTCCTTTTTGCATCATCTTTTGAGTAACCAAATCAGAACACCCAATTTGGTGAAATATTTTTTCCTATTATATCTATTATTGCTTTTGTACGATAAACACAAAAATGTATATGCAGTTTTGTTAAATATATCTAAATAAAGAATTAAAAAAAAAATCAATTTCAAATTAACACAAACAAAATTGACTTTAACTTATGGTTTAGTTCATGCACTCTTTAATGTATATCTTAAAAGTTTTGTTGTGGACTAAGCAAATATCAAATTATCATTTCAGAAGTACATTTTCTTGCATGGTATCATCTTCACTAACATTTAACATAGTGGGTTTAGGAGTTACTGAGGTAGTTCTTATTGAGGTGTTTCTTGTTTTTTTCTTTGGAGGAATCAGTGGTTTCTATGTCTTCAGGATATGGTTTTGTCATTCAAAGGGAACTGTCTATGTAATTCTGAAATGATATACATTTGGTATTTTATTGTAATTGAAAAAGAAACAATATTAGTGCATGAACATTTGAACTTTGAATATATAATATTTAAACTTGATAATTTATAATTTTTAAAATCGATTTTGGAAATTTATTGTTTCAAAATTAAATTGTAACTTGTGAACCATAATAAGTGATATTTTTATTTGCAACTTGTAAACCATAAGAGATAGAGACCTAGGGTGTTTTGGTTTGAGGTCTTTGGTCCACTTAAAGAAAATTTAGGGCAAGGTCAAAGGTCAAGGTCATTTTCTAAATTTTTATTTTGGCTTGTTATTTCTTATCAGAGGCCGTATAAGATATTGACAAAATATTTTTCTAAATTGTTATATGCAACATGTCGTAACATATGATTTTTGGTTGAACACGTACGTTGACATAAAATGGGAGTTTTCTCCCCTCTCATATTTAAAACTAGCTGTATGGTGATATTACTCATTAACCATATATAGTAGAGATCTAGGGTCTTTTTATTTGAGGTCCTTACTTTATGACCTTGAAATATAGGTCAAGGTCATAGGTAAATTTGACGTTCTAGATTTTGATCTTAGCACTAACTTTATTTTTATAAATGATAGAGCCATAGGACTTCTTGCATTAGGTTACAAGCCATATGACCTTGAAAAAGTCGACCAGAAGTGACCTTGTTTGAATCGGAAGTAGCTATTTTTTGTACTTATTTAATATAAAAGTATATAGAACCATATATTTTTGGAATCCATGTCAAGTAACCTATCATATTATACCAGAAGTAATATTTTTCAAACTCGAAGTAACAAATTATCTCCTTTATACGGACAAAAGTGTATAGAAACCATATATTTTTAGAATTGGCACTCAGCTATAATCTAAGACTGGAAATGACATTTTAAACTCGATTTTGATATTTTCAGATACAGCCTAAATATGTTACACTCCTAGACAATGAAGATGGTTTCATGGTAGATTGATCACACATCTGGATACGTAGCATGTAGGTATTTGGTATTTTTAATTGTACTTTTAACTATGTTTATATGGTTTGCAGGTAACTAAAATCAGTTTTCCCTTGAACAACAGCTTAAATTAGATTTGATCTTTTATTTAAATTTACACTCTTATGAAGATTATTTTAATGATAATGTATAGAAATTGTTTATATACTTGTCTTCAAATTAGGATTTGTCATAAAAAATGCATCATATTAATTTTGAATTAATTTCAACAATCAATATTCTCTATTTTTTTTTGTTTTGTTACAGATAGCCTAAATATGTAAGACTCCTATACCATGAAAGATGCTTGCATTGCAGATGCGCATTAGGATTAGACACATGTAGGTATTTGGTCATTATAGTTTTTTTGTAGAGCCTGCAACTTTTGTCGCAGAAAGCTCGACATAGGGATAGCGATCCGGCGGCGTTAGCTAACTTCTTAAAAGCTTTATATTTTAGAAGATGGAAGACCTGGATGCTTCATACTTTGTATATGGATGCCTCATGTTACGAAGTTTCCGTCAGTCACATGTCCAATGTCCTTGACCTCATTTTCATGGTTCAGTGACTACTTGAAAAAAAAAGTTCAGATTTTTTGTAATGTTAAATTCTCTCTTATTATAAGTAATAGGATAACTATATTTGGTATGTGCGTACCTTGCAAGGTCCTCATGCCCGTCAGACAGTTTTCACTTGACCTCGACCTCATTTCATGGATCAGTGAACAAGGTTAAGTTTTCGTGGTCAAGTCCATATCTCAGATACTATAAGCAATAGGTCTAGTATATTCGGTGTATGGAAGGACTGTAAGGTGTACATGTCCAACTGGCAGGTGTCATCTGACCTTGACCTCATTTTCATGGTTCAGTGGTTATAGTTAAGTTTTTGTGTTTTGGTCTGTTTTTCTTATACTGTATGCAATAGGTCTACTATATTTGGTGTATGGAATGATTGTAAGGTGTACATGTCTAGCTGGCAGGTGTCATCTGACCTTGACCTCATTTTCATGGTTCAGTGGTCAAAGTTAAGTTTTTGAGTTTTGGTCTTTCTTTCTAATACTGCATGCAATAGGTCAGCTATATTTGGTGTATGGAATGATTGTAAGGTGTACATGTCTAGCTGGCAGGTGTCATCTTACCTTGACCTCATTTTCATGGTTCAGTGGTCAAAGTTAAGTTTTTGAGTTTTGGTCTTTTTTTCTAATACTATATGCAATAGTTCAACTATATTTGGTGTATGGAAATATTTTATGATCTATATGTCAGTCACGCAGGTTTTATTTGACCTTGACCTCATTTTCAAGGTTCATTGCTCAGTGTTAAGTTTTTGTGTTTTGGTCTGTTTTTCTTAAAATATAAGCAATAGGTCAACTATATTTGTTGTATGGAAGAATTGTTAGCTGTACATGCCTGCCTAGCATGGTTCATCTGACCTTGACCTCATTTTCATGGTTCATTGGTCAATGTTTAGTTTACTTGGTTAATGTTAAGTTTATGTGACAGTTGTAATACAGCTTTATATTTAGGACTATCAACATAATATCAATGATTAGTAAAGAAGGCGAGACATTTCAGCGTGTGCACTCTTGTCTTAAAACTATATCTATATTTGTTAGGTAATAAAAATGAGTTTTTTTTTCCCCTGAAAACCAACAGATTGAAGTTTTATATCAAATTGGGCTAAAATTTCTTTCATTCAAATTTATACTCTGATGCTGGAAGGGTCCACGGTGGCCAAGTGGTCTAAGTAGTTGCTACTGTAATCACTAGCCAGTCAACACTTGAGGTTGTGAGTTCGAACCCCATTCGTGCGGGTGCACTCGACTCCAATCTTAATTGACTAGGACTGTCAGTTTTCCTATCGAAGGTCGGTGGTTTTCTCCGGGGCACTCCGGCTTCCTCCCCCAATAAAAACTGGCCGCCACGAAATAGCCCAAAAGTGGCGTTAAAACACCAAAAAATCAAATCAAATCTAATGCTGAATATTTTAATTAGAATGTATAGTAATTGTTTTTATACTTTTCTCTAATTTGGGATTTAACATAAAACATGCATCATATTATTTTCTGAATTGATTGCAACAGCAAAAAGTCTGGATTTAAAGCGGAAATTTAATTTATAATTTTTGTTTTTGTTACAGATTATACAGCCTAAATATGTAACACTCCTATACCATGAAAGATGCTGTCATTGTAGATAGCACATTAGGATGTTGCACATGTAGGTATTTGGTCATTACAATTTTTCTTAAAACTATGTTTATGTTTGTTAGGTAATAAAAATCCGTTTTTTTTTTCCTGAACAGTTTAACAAAAAGATGCTTTATGTTAAAATGGGTCTCGTAAAAGCAGACCTTTGCAGAGAGCAAACTTTAGATTTTGATATAACATTGATGAATTTAATGGGCGCTAATCTTGTGAAAACATATTCCCCAACAGAGCTGATTACATAGTATGATGAAAACTTGTGTTTATGGTAAAATGTATTTAGTTTTTTGCCTGGCTCTGTTTCATTATCAACCAATTTGAAACTTTATTACAAATTGGTCTAAAAATATTTTCTTCAAATTTATACTCTAATGAAATATATTCTTGATGGAATGTATAGTAATTATAAATATTCTTGTCCAACATGCAAAAGATTAAATTCTGAAAAAATTGCAACAGCAAATAGACTCTAAAGCTGATATTAAGTTATAGTTTTTGTTAAAGATACAGCCTCAATATGTTGAACTCCTAGACAGAGAAGGTGGATTCATGGCAGATAAGTAGAGTCAACATGTAAGTATTTGGTCATTACAATTGTACTTAAAACTATGTTAATATTTGGAAGTCAATAAAAATCTGTTTTCACTGAAACAGTAGCTTAAAATTTTATTACAAATTGGTCTAAAATATCTTTTATTCGAATTTCAAATGTGGTACATCTTAATAAGAATGAAAGAGTAATTGTAAATTAATTGTTCGTAATTTAAGATTTGACATAAAACGTGAATCACATTAATTTTTTAATTTTTTCAACAGCCATTAAATATTCTCTAAAGCTGATGTTAATTCAATTTTTTTCTTTTGTAAAAGATACAGCCCAGATATGTTCCACTCCCACACATTCAAGATGGTTTCGTGGTAGATGGCACATGAGGATGTTTAACATGTAAGTATTTAGTCATTACAATTGTACTTTAGACTATGTTTATATGTGTTGGGTAATAAATATTAGTTTTCCCTGGAACAACAGCTTAAATAAAATTTTATTTCAAATTCGTTTACATATTTTTTTTGTTCAAATGTATAATCAAGTGAATTAATTTTTAACATGAATGCGTAGTAATTGTAAATATACTTGAGTCCAATTTAGGATTTGACATAAAATATGAGTGACATTTATTTATAATTGATTGCAACAGCCAATAGTCTCTATTTGAAGCTGATAAGGTCTTTCCACTTTTTCATTGAAAGACCTAATTAATGCTTTTGTTATTTTTTTTCTTCGTTGTTTGGTTGTTTAGCAAGATATCGCTTAGATATTTGGTATATGATATCAAACAGTTTATACGCTTTTGAAACTGACACCGCTTAACCGAATACTTTTCTATGTAAGAGTTCTCCCCGAACACTGTTTTCTTGTTATTTGTTATTCTTCGCAACCTTAGAAGAAACCGACTAATTAATTTTTGCAAATTACTCGTTATATCCTCTGGATACGTTGAGTTTCATTTTGACCTAAGCGTTATGAAGACTCCATATGAGAGTTATTCCCCCTTATGTATTTGAAATAAGTGATATGTATTTGTAACTTGTAAACCATAAGTGATAGAGACCTAGGGTGTTTTGGTTTGAGGTCCTTGGTCCACTTAAAGAAAGTTTAGGTCAAGGTGAAAGGTCAAGGTCATCTACATTTTTATTTTGGCTTATACGACCTCAAAAAATTTTTGCAGTGATATATTGGTATGACTTTGGCGTTTTCATCGTCCGAAGACACATTGATTTTTGCACAATAACTTTAGTTTAAGAATTAGGAATTACGGGCCTAAACGGGGGCAAAAAACAAGCATTTTTCTAGTTTCAAGACAATAACTTGTGTGTAAGTGTATGAATCTTTATGAAATTGTACTCCAAGGCTCCATATCACAAAGGAAAAGCTGGGTTTGAGTTTTGGGGTAATTGCCGTAAATGTTTAGGAATTTGGGGCCACAAAGGGGCCAAAAACAAGCATTTTTCTAGTTTCAAGACAATAACTTGTAAGTGTATGGATCTTTATGAAAAATTTTTGCAGTTGTATATTGGTATGACGTTGGCGATTCATCGTCTGAAGACACATTGGTTTTTGCACAATAACTTTAGTTTAAGAATTAGGAATTGTCGGCCTAAACAGGGGCAAAAAACAAGCATTTTTCTAGTTTCATGACAATAACTTGTGTGTAAGTGTATGGATCTTTATGAAATTGTACTACAAGGCTCCATATCACAAAGGGAAAGCTGGGTTTGAGTTTTGGGGTAATTGCCGTAAACGTTTAGGAATTTGGGGCCAAAAAACAAGCTTTTTTTCTAGTTTCCCGACAATAACTTGTGTTCAAGTGTATGGATCTCTCTGAAATTGTACTGCAAGGTACCATTCCACAAAGGGAAGGCTGGGATTAAGTTTGGGGTGATGAATCAAAAAGGGGTTCAAAAAATTTTGGGGGGGATTTTTTTTCGGTCCAAAATTAAACTTAGTTTGATTTTTAACAAAAATTGAATTCTTGGGGTTCTTTGATATGCTGAATCTAAACATGTATTTAGATTTTTTATTTTTATTTGTGGGCTGCCAAACCTAACCGTGTATTTAGATTTTTAGTATTGGGTCCTGTTTTTTAAATTGGTCTACATTAAGGTCCAAAGGGTCCAAAATTAAACTTTGTTTGATTTCATCAAAAATTGAATTCTTTGGATTCTTTGATATGCTGCATTTAACCATGTATTTAGATTTGGATATTAGACCATAATAGGTAAATTAACAAT